TTTTTTTTTTTTTTTTTACAGTGAAGACTTTGTATGAAAAACACGTTCCACCAGAGTTATAATTTATATATTTCGATATCTTTTTCACTAATCACATTTGCTCTTTTATTATCCAAAGACTGATTACATGTTAGTTTATATATGTGTTGTTTTTTTTTATCTTTTAATGGGGGAAAAAAAGATAATTAGTGTATTTTTGTGTAACCGATATAGATCTCTATGAAAGTGGACTGATGCTCATTTTGGATTAGCATAAAAATATTGAACATTTTCTTCCAATCAGAATGCAACAAGTGCTCATAGTGTGATTACTGCCCCTGAGTAACAGACGGCTGGTCTGTTGAGCACTTAAACATGCAGCGTGCTACAGTGGGACTTGGCCTCTGACATGAGACTGGAACGAAACATGGGCTTTTCCTTTCTTCTGTCTAATTGGATTTTTTTAACCCCGGATGAGTGTTAGAAAAATACGCTTATTTTCCAGATACTGCATGTTTTTATTTGTGAGGGGAGCCTGGTGTTAGAAAACAAGGCTGCTGTTACTGTAGCAACATCTGGTGTTGGAGCGCTGAAGGCTTAACCAATAAACAGCAGCTGAAACAGAACGGAAGCTCTAGATCTAGGTGTAAAACAAACATCAGACTCGAGATGTTTTTCCTGTTTCAGAGTCATATGTTAGAAATAGAGCGGCTGATGGTTTCACACTCATCCTTTTCATTTTGTTGCTCGCACACCTTTTCCCACATTGCTCTTATGCCCTGTGGAAATGATGCACAACAATGTGCCATCTTCATTTTTTGTAAGGAAAATGGAGGTAACTTTAAGAGAATCAATCAGGTGGAAAAATGCGGCGGCTTTGGATGTTATCGTCCCAATAAATGATCATTATTAACGGTTATTGGTCCCATAGAATGGCTTCAGATTATGCTAGTAGGCTCAGTAGGTTATTATCGCAAAATAAATCCTGATCCTTAATGTGAACAAATAAGGAATAGTTGTATTTATTGGCCCCCCAGGAACTAGGGGCCCTAGGTAACGGTCTAGTATTTTCTAATGGTAAATCCCCTCCTGCTAACGCCTGACATGATGCCTAAACATGGCTGGTTTTAGATTTTAAGGAGGAAGCAGGTGTACTTATATAAAACCTATCATATTTTAGAAAATGCAAACTTCATGCAGAAAACCCTTTTTTCCTGGATTCAGAGAAGCAGGTCTTGCTCTTTGGGAGTCAAACTGCTAACAAATGTTCAACAGGTTAAACTGCAACGTAAATAAACCAAATGTGAACCTCTAGTCATGGAGATTTTATCATTTCTGATTCTGTTGCTCCTGTTGTTTCCAGCTTGCTCCAGATGATGCCTGGAAGTGTCCCCACTGCAAGCAGCTGCAGCAGGGCATGGTGAAGATGAGTCTGTGGACGCTGCCTGACATCCTCATCCTCCACCTAAAGCGCTTCCGACAGGTAGGCAAGGTCAAAAGTGTGGTTCACAATAAAGACCAGTGGTGGAAATTCGCCCATACTAAAATTGAGTTTTAGATATCCATAAAATCTTGCTTTTAAACAAGTACTTATTAAAGGAAAAGTCCGAACATATTGAGAATTTAAACTTCTGAAAATACTTTAAATATGAAATAAAAATAGTAATTAGGGATGCACGATATTGGGATTTTGGCCGATATCCGATATGCCGATATTTTAAAACTCATGTAG